CCCACACACACATAAAAAACGTCTTGCTATATGGATTGGTCCACTTTTGGGTACGATGAAAAGTATTGCAGAAAATTACCCCCACATCAATCCTGAAGAGAACAGAGCCTTATCAGACCGTTGTTGTGCTGATGAGATCTAAATGGATTGATTGATTGCTATTGGTCAACTGAAACAAAGGGGCGTGGTCAAAGGTGGAGAATAGATGTCATTTGGTTTGACCAAGTTGTCAAATTAGGCCACACCGACTCAATTGATGACATCCGCGCCCGTATAGCCTGTTCTCAACAAAACAAAATAACGTCCTCCGAGGCTCTGGCCTGGTTCTAGGCCTGGGTAGTCCATGGTACATGTAGTAAGCGACAATACGGAGCCTGTGGTAACTCTGGAGGACGGCACCCAGGCTACCGAAGCTTCGAGACTCAAGTATACAGGAAAAGGTTTAGAACAATATATCTTATTAGCTTTGTTCAGGTATCCGTGTATAAAAAGATTTTGATATAATAATAATCATTATGTCTTGTTGTACGTTTTGGTTGAATGGTCTATAGATCGTGCGAGCATCGATAGATCGTCGACCGTAACTCGGACGACGTACGCCCGTGTGTCGAGCGAGCTTCGGCCGACTCCTGTCTGGTTAAAAAGGTGGTCGTTGTGTTAACCAGACGGTAGTGTAAATTTGTGGCTCTTGTGGTAGTATTTGATTTGGATCCTTCACAGAATTCCTGTTTGTATTTCTATTTTATTCTGCCAGTACGTTCCATTACTTTGCTTAAAAAAATATAACGACAGGTCAAACATAAAAATTGGTTAAACTATTCATTTTTGGTGGATACACGGCCTTGCTTCTTCTGTGTGCCATGTCATGGGGACTTCATTATCATAGATGTATTCCCAAGCGATCGCCCGAGCCTCGCACAATGTGACAGCGACGATTTTCAAGGCAAAAATACGCGCGATCGTCGGTCGATCTCAAAATCGGCCGATCTTTCGGCGATTGACAAATACGGCCGAAGCTCGTCGACAATGTGACGGGGGCATTACTAGTACTCGTAACTAAATACTCAAGGGCATAAACAAGTAGAGCAGTGGGGTCGTGTGGCGTAACGGCCCAGAACCCAGAGGTCCTCGGTTCGAATCCCCCATCTGGGCAAGAATTTGTAATAAATAGTATTCAAAATTTAACAGCTCTTTTACTCGTTCTAGTGGTTAGTTTCACATCTGTTGTCATGGAAGCGATTTGAACCAGCCTGAGTGACTTTGCATCATTTTGTAGTTTATCTTGAAAACAAATAAAGAGAATTCACCTTCGAATAGGCCTGAAAGGCTAATTAGTTTAACTAATCGACTGTTAGGTAATCAGTTATTTATGGACAATAGCCAAAGTGTAACCACTTTTTGCTGATAAGAACGCCACCTAGACTGCGAGTAGGAGCGCTCCCTAGCATACATGACCTGTACTGCAGCCTCATGATGACTGGCTTCCTTGGGAGGGGGGCCTCATGAGGATTGTGCGACTCATAATGGCCTTAGTTCCCATTCAAAGTTCTTTTTGCTTAGTAAATACCAAGAGGAGAACTACTCTAAAACTTGGCCACCTTTGCAGATTTTTCCGGTGCAGTCCGTGTTTTCTTTTTCCTCAGTTTTTGCTAATAGCTGGTGGCAGAGGGTCCAGACAAGGCGGTCAGAGAAGCATGCTAATCATACAACTTGGGGAATCAGAAAATGGTGCAAATTAGAAAAGAGTGGAAATCAGCGCCCCCCCCCTCCCCAAAACACCGACCGTACCGATAAGAAGAAGAAGGTCCCCCATGCTCTTATGCAGAGCGTAGGGCGGTGCCCATCTCCATTTCCGTAGCCCTTGGGCGACACACAGTTGTGCAAGGCACTACAGCAGGGGGCTAGTCCGCTGGTAGTGCTGTGTTTCCCACACTCTTTCTCATATGTGCTGAGTGCTAATCAGAGAAAGAAGTGTGTACCATTTTTAAAGTCTTTACCGGTGCAATGGCTCAATTGGTAGAGTGCTTGCTTTGTAACCCAGAGGTAGTGAGTTCAAACCCCGACCAGGTCATACCAAAGACTTTAAAAATGGTACCAAGAACAAAAAGGCTATTATCTAAAACATACCTACTGAAAATTGTAAACCGACTTAAATACCTACTTTTCGTTCCAATATTTCATCACCTTAAATGTATCCATTACTTCACTTGCAGTGCTTCCAGGGACAACTCAAAGTGCAATATCTACAGAGATGCCTCTAAACAACGCACAACCTCAGGGTGCAACAGAAACAACAGACGCAATCAAAACTGTTTCAAAGTCAAGCAGAGGTGCCTCATCAGAAACACAGACATATTATGGTCAAAAAATGTCAAATAGTCATCAGGAATCAAGGTATGCTACTACTGCTGCTGCTGTTATGGGTGGAACTGCGTACAATTGTTCAAATTCAACAGGGAAAGGTGCACAAACCAGCACTGGAAGTGCCCGTCTAAGCCACTCTATTGGCACGTCAGGTAGCTACATGTATAATTCAAGTGCAATTGCTAAAAAAGCTGCTACATCCTCATCAAATCAAACAGCGTTGACAAAAAGAAGGAAAGAAACAACAACAAATAGTAAAAGTAGAACAGTCACGACTGCATCGAGATATAGGACAAAAGATGCGTCTAAAAACTATGCAACGGCATTGCTTTCAACAAAGTTTTCGTATTCGGGCATATCAGAAACAACAATAGAACATTATGGTGACACGCTACCAGAAAACTTGAAAAAGGCAAAAATACAAAGAACAATTAAACTATCTGCCCCAGCCATCAAAACCACTACCTGGCCAAATTCATCCAAAGCCTATACATGGACAAACATAAGAGCAAACGTAAAAACAGAAGAGACAACAACAGAAGGGCTTCCAAAAACAATACAAGCACCAAATTTTAAACATCGTCACAAAAGAAGCCAGCACACGAGTACAGAACAAGTCACTACAATACCTTCAGCAGGTGGAACGATTACACAGAAATTGACAACTCCTACATTCACTAAAACGCCATTAAACACAAGTCAAGTTGCAACAAGAGACTCCAGAACTGTCGCAACAACCAACCTAACAAAACTAACAAGTATAACGCAGCCCACAACAGTTCTGACAACAGAAAGACAACAGACTACACAAACAAGCAGCAACGTGCCCACATCTGCCGAGACTTCCACGGTGCCTTCAACAACAACCGAGGCCTTGTCTACCTTGCAGACGACAGGCGTGGTCTCTACAGCTCTTCCGAGTGCCAGCACAGAAGAAGGCACTACAAGTGCTTCGACGGCTGAGACTACAACACAGGAAGAACTAACTACTCTAGACACTTCCACCGAAACCCTGCAAGTTTCCACCCAAGCCTCCACAACAACATCCGACCGGACAACACAGGCAACTACAGAGCTGCCCTCGACTGTTCTGACAACAGAAGAACAACAGACTACACAGACAAGCAGCAACGTGCCCACATCTGCCGAGACTTCCACGGTGCCTTCAACAACAACCGAGGCCTTGTCTACCTTGCAGACGACAGGCGTGGTCTCTACAGCTCTTCCGAGTGCCAGCACAGAAGAAGGCACTACAAGTGCTTCGACGGCTGAGACTACAACACAGGACTGGAACTAACCACTCTAGACACTTCCACCGAAACCCTACAAGTTTCCACCCAAGCCTCCACAACAACATCCGACCGGACAACACAGGCAACTACAGAGCTGCCCTCGACTGTTCTGACAACAGAAGAACAAGCGACTACACAGACAAGCAGCAACGTGCCCACATCTGCCGAGACTTCCACGGTGCTTTCAACAACAACCGAGGCCTTGTCTACCTTTCAGACGACAGGCGTGGTCTCTACAGCTCTTCCGAGCGCCAGCACAGAAGAAGGCACTACAAGTGCTTCGACGGCTGAGACTACAACACAGGAAGAACTAACTACTCTAGACACTTCCACCGAAACCCTGCAAGTTTCCACCCAAGCCTCCACAACAACATCCGACCGGACAACACAGGCAACTACAGAGCTGCCCTCGACTGTTCTGACAACAGAAGAACAACAGACTACACAGACAAGCAGCAACGTGCCCACATCTGCCGAGACTTCCACGGTGCCTTCAACAACAACCGAGGCCTTGTCTACCTTGCAGACGACAGGCGTGGTCTCTACAGCTCTTCCGAGTGCCAGCACAGAAGAAGGCACTACAAGTGCTTCGACGGCTGAGACTACAACACAGGAAGAACTAACCACTCTAGACACTTCCACCGAAACCCTGCAAGTTTCCACCCAAGCCTCCACAACAACATCCGACCGGACAACACAGGCAACTACAGAGCTGCCCTCGACTGTTCTGACAACAGAAGAACAACAGACTACACAGACAAGCAGCAACGTGCCCACATCTGCCGAGACTTCCACGGTGCCTTCAACAACAACCGAGGCCTTGTCTACCTTGCAGACGACAGGCGTGGTCTCTACAGCTCTTCCGAGTGCCAGCACAGAAGAAGGCACTACAAGTGCTTCGACGGCTGAGACTACAACACTGCTGGAACTAACTACTCTAGACACTTCCACCGAAACCCTGCAAGTTTCCACCCAAGCCTCCACAACAACATCCGACCGGACAACACAGGCAACTACAGAGCTGCCCTCGACTGTTCTGACAACAGAAGAACAACAGACTACACAGACAAGCAGCAACGTGCCCACATCTGCCGAGACTTCCACGGTGCCTTCAACAACAACCGAGGCCTTGTCTACCTTGCAGACGACAGGCGTGGTCTCTACAGCTCTTCCGAGTGCCAGCACAGAAGAAGGCACTACAAGTGCTTCGACGGCTGAGACTACAACACAGGAAGAACTAACTACTCTAGACACTTCCACCGAAACCCTGCAAGTTTCCACCCAAGCCTCCACAACAACATCCGACCGGACAACACAGGCAACTACAGAGCTGCCCTCGACTGTTCTGACAACAGAAGAACAACAGACTACACAGACAAGCAGCAACGTGCCCACATCTGCCGAGACTTCCAAGGTGCCTTCAACAACAACCGAGGCCTTGTCTACCTTGCAGACGACAGGCGTGGTCTCTACAGCTCTTCCGAGTGCCAGCACAGAAGAAGGCACTACAAGTGCTTCGACGGCTGAGACTACAACACAGGAAGAACTAACTACTCTAGACACTTCCACCGAAACCCTGCAAGTTTCCACCCAAGCCTCCACAACAACATCCGACCGGACAACACAGGCAACTACAGAGCTGCCCTCGACTGTTCTGACAACAGAAGAACAAGCGACTACACAGACAAGCAGCAACGTGCCCACATCTGCCGAGACTTCCACGGTGCCTTCAACAACAACCGAGGCCTTGTCTACCTTGCAGACGACAGGCGTGGTCTCTACAGCTCTTCCGAGTGCCAGCACAGAAGAAGGCACTACAAGTGCTTCGACGGCTGAGACTACAACACAGGAAGATCTAACTACTCTAGACACTTCCACCGAAACCCTGCAAGTTTCCACCCAAGCCTCCACAACAACATCTGACCGGACAACACAGGCAACTACAGAGCTGCCCTCGACTGTTCTGACAACAGAAGAACAACAGACTACACGAACAAGCAGCAACGTGCCCACATCTGTCCATTCGACAAAATTCGTCACAGAAGATTCTATCACTTCACGTTAGTTTCAACAATACATAATTTTCTCAAAAATATTTTTTGGTCAAAACAATTGGTAAAATGATTAATAGTCTTTCTCTTTACAGTCAGTGATTTTTATTTGATTGACCTGTCTTTTTTTCAGGATTAAATGGCACAGTGCGGTTAAAACTTGAAACCGCACAGGAATTTATTGAGTCTCTTCTCAATAAATCTTCTCAAGAATTCTTAAGTCTTGCCGCGGAGGTCGTAAGAAAAGTGAGTATATTTTTTTTATTAGTTTGTTGTTGATGTTCTTAATCCAATGCATTTGTATTTCACATTTAGTATGTTGGAGTTTCTTACTAATAGTTAAGCATGTGTGTAGTTTTCTAATAGCCACAAGACTTGATTCTGTAATGTTGATTTAGTGATATCCCTATTGACTATTGTTATTGATTTGGGCACTGGGTATGTAATATAACTTGATATAATAGTGATCTAACAATCAAAATCTTATTAAAAAATAGAAAATTCGCTTTTGGAGTAGATTACATGTTAAAAGAAACAATTAAATCCTGGTAACGGCTGTGTTGTAGTCTTCTGGACTTTAAATTTGTTTTTATATATGGTGTCCTTAATTGCATAATCAATAAGTTGAAAATGTAATGCGTAGAAGGAGACATTTGGCTCCGCCACCCCTCTCTGCCTCAATGCTTACCGAAAGTTTAAAGTACAGAAGATAAAGTACACAACCATAAACCGCCTCGTTCTCTACGCTCACTTGGTGGTTTATTCGGTGGTTATTACACCTGACCAGAGATTATCGCACCATATACACCTCGGGGCGGGGCATTAACCCTTTATTATTTACCGCTGTACAGGTTACGCCACTATTCCGGTTCGAACCACAGTTTCTCCGGTGTGAGGTTGTCGGTTTCGAGTAAGTGCTTCTTTTTCATAACTTGCACTAATAAATGTTACGAATGTTTGCCCAATTACAGCAGTATACTATTTACATTACAACTACGTATATCCATAGCATCTAAATCAGAGTGTTCCAATCCAATGATCACCTTTACATGATAAGCGTCGTTTGAAATGTTATAGAACTACGAATAGTGTTTTTGATACGTCTGACAACACCAGAAAAGGGTTGCACATTTTAATTTGTACCTAAAATTTGTAGCTTACAAAAGATTGTTTTACTGAATTTTTTCAAGGTATAATATTTATCTAATGATATATGGGTATCATATAATAAATACATAGTAGTAACTTGGTGATAGGTCTGAGAACACCAGAAGAGGGTTGCACATTTTAATTTGTACCTAGAATTTGTATCCTACAAAAGATTATTTTACTGATTTTTTTCGAGGTATAATAGTTATCTAATGATATGAGTATCATATCATAAATACATAGTAGTAACTTGGTGATAGGTCTGAAAACAACAGAAGAGGGTTGCACATTTTAATTTGTACCTAAAATTTATAGCTTAAAAAAAGATTGTTTTACTGAATTTTTTCAATGTATAATATTTCTTTAATAAGTATCATATAATACACAGGTAGAGGTAGACAGCAAAAGCGTTAGTCAAACTTTCAGTTGGTCTCTTCATACATGTTAATAGCGACCGTCTTAACAACAGTGTAAACTTATGCCGTCATACGCCAAAAAACAGTTACTCAAGCAACTGGATATGATTTTGAAAACGTCAGACGTTTCAGCTAGTATCCACTAGCTTTCGTCAGTGACTGAGAGACCAGAGGAGAAATGCAGGTTTATAAGCACAAACTATTGATTGATATGCAAATAAATTGAAGACAAATTTTTGGAAGTCGAAAAAGGAACAAAAGTCAGACAAGTCAAGACAACATAATGCAAATTAGTCGGAAAGCTCCTGTTATACAGGACAGGAGCTTAAGTGTTGTCATATTGTTGTCATCAACAGGAGCTTAAGTGTTGTCAAGTGTTGTCTTATGCCGTCATATTTTGCCTTGCAGACGTGGAAGCACCATATCTATAGTGGATGTCATATACAACCTGACAGTGGACAGTCCTGTTGAGAAGAGGACGTACGATCTAGTCTACAATGCAGTCGCAAATGAAGAGATTCTCATTGAAGGGATGGCTGTGGATGTACTTTACATCGCAATTGAACAAGGTAGGGTAAAACGATGCTGAGCTTATATGTTTTCGGTAGAAAAATTTCACGGTCTGAGAAAAAGGGGGAATCAAGGAACTACATGTATGTGTTGACGGCAATCAGGAAAGCGGGGGTGGGAGGCAAGAGACGAATTATTTGATAGTTGTTATGATAAGTTCTTTTCTTGTTTCCTCTCTTCATAGTTATTTATCATCCACCTTCTGGCATGGCAACAGACATCTTTGCCCATTTTGGGCATGTTGACCACTGTCAGAAGGCAACAAAATTAATTTTTCAAAATCAGGCGAAAATTCATGCGCGCGCTGATGTCATGAAATTACTTGCTGTGGCCTAACGTGTAATATCTTCTTTCCCGTCAGGCACGTCGTTTGTTCCCGTTGCGTTCTGCCACAACAACACCTGTCAGAACCACGCCACCTGTCTGCTGCTGGGGAACAGCACCTCGTGCGTGTGTCAGGACGGCTTCGTGGAGAACGGGACTGCATGTCTGCCCGCGTGTGACGGAGGGTACGTCTGCAGGGACGGGAGCGCTTGTCAACTGGAAGACGGACTGCCGACATGCACGTGAGTTTGCCAAGTACCCTCTCTTATAATACGTTGTATTATGTTGTAACGATTTTAACTGTAAATGTGTAACTACTTAAGTTAGACCGACACGTTTTTAAAATCGCCTCACAATTCAGCCCGTCACGGCTGCCAGGAGGCATCAATGTAACAACTAACGTTCTAATAAACCAGTCTATTACTACTACTACTACTACTACTACTACTACTACTACTACTACTACTACTACTACTACTACTACTACTACTTTTCCGTCAAACTAGAAAAGTGCGATGCTTCAGACAAAGCGTAATGTTATTTCTAACACAGTAGATAACAGGCGTATCCCATAATACATAGCCGTTTCCCGTCTGTGCCGGAAGTGCCACTCAGGGAACATGTGCCCCATTCAGTTTGAATCCATGGCGGCACTAGAGAAAGACAGAAGTCTAAATGCCACATGTACGAATGGCAAAGGAGACATTCTACTTTCACACCAGTACAAAATGCCGTCTCGCATTCTATTACTAAGGTTTTATCTCTTTGTCATGGCTTTATAAACGTACATAAAAGTAACGTATTCTTACTAAAAAGGCGTGTTTCTGTTATATTTTGCAGGCCTGTACCTGACGTCACGGGACTAGACGGTACGTTGTTCACTAATTACTGTCATTACTACATTTGGATAATTCATTTACGCTTATCATTCGCACACACACACACACACACACACACACACACACACACACACACACGTACACACATGATACCATCTGTGTCAGTGAAGTCTTGTCGCTGGGGTAAACTTTAATCACGACTTTATCTGTGTCTGACAAATACACAATACGTTTTCTAAAAAGTTCACGAAAAGATCATTTAAAAAAGCTCGTGCTTTTGGGTAGCCTTGACTACTGACTGCTCAAGTCAACTTATACTGAAGAATAGTATCTGAATATTGATAATTTACGGCACAAAACTGCCGTCTCAAAACTCCGAATGAGTTGCCACAAATTACACATCGAAACGGTAGACATAACCGCAGTGTCTCCCCTAGAACAACGAATATGTCGGTACTGTGATCTAGGAAGAATCGAAGATGAGAAACATTTTGTAGTAGAATGTAAACTATACAACAAAGAGAGAGTAGAACTTTATAATCTGATACAATCTATGTTCCCCTTCTTCATACATCTAAGCTATATAGATAAATTATATTTCTAATGAGCTTAGACAAACCTTCTGTATTGAAACATAGCCGTTCTTACGTTTTTGCCATTACTAAGAAACGAAAAGAAACCGAATGTACTTGATCGTAGTTACTTGACGATTTATATATGTAACGTTATCTATATTCCATCCTTTTGTTGTGACCTGTACCTAACCCAGTGGGTATGTGTGTACAATAAAGATCTTCATTCATTTATTCATATATTTTCGCTGACTAATTGAATTCAGAGAAAATAATTCTGTATCTGTATCTGTATCTGTATAGCCGGTATAACCGCCTTTCGGCGTAACACACCAGCTTCGCAGGCACGCGGCGCGGCGGCAGATGGCTATATTACACCGATCGACTTGTTCCACCTAACCCTTGAACTTCTAGCTCTAGACATTGTTTAAAGCTATCTATTGACAGTGCCCCTACTGTACTTGGTGACAGTGAGTTCCACTCTGTGATAGTTCTAGGAAAGAATTAATTCTTGAACAATTGGGCTAAAGCAAGGAGGGCTAAAGCAAGGAGGTTATGCACTTAAATCTCTATCTAGTAGGCTAAAACATGTTACGAAAATAATTTTACCTAAGGCTACACCAATTTAATTTGTTGTTTCTCGGATTCGCTCTATCCATTTTTTTCTGATTAGCAAAACAAATT